AACTCAGTCACTTCTAACCTTTCAATTGATACTAGATTTGGTAATAAGAAAAGTTCAAGTTTAAATAGTATCCCACTAATTGATTCTACTTATAACTTGAATACAGGTATCGTAAACCCTATATTTAGATTTTAATTATAATTATTAAAGCATTGGTAATTTACTAATTGACTTTTTATTTTTTATAATTGATAATAATGGTCAACAGAAAACCAGAGGCTAAACAACTTTAAAGGAATTATGGATGCTACCTCCAAATAAGCGTATTGTAGTATATGCAAACCCTGATAGGCAACCAATTAGTGAATAGTATCAATTGCTAGTTAGATTTTTAGGAATGGTTGCTCGTAATGGCACGAAATTTTTTATTCATACTGAAACATGGCATAAAGTTCTAGTAGAAGTTAAGGTCGAAGCTTTAAATTTTATTGAGGTATTAGTATAATTAATTACATATTAAAAATATTAATTCTTTTGAAGTTAGTTTATCAATTGTAACTTTTCTTTTTGTATTGTAACATATAAGACTTTTACTTGAACTACCTACTTCAATTGTGCTTAAGTCATTGGGAAAGAAACGAAAAAACTATAAACATAATTTGAAGAAAAAGTATTTTGATCGAAATAATACTGTAGAGGCTACAATAGATAATCTACGTCATGGTGTAATTAGGTGGCAATATGAACAGTTGGTTAGACTTTGGTTCTCAAGGAAAGGAAATGTACTAATTTATAACTTTTAATATTACTTTTAATAAAAAAAGATGTTTTATGTTTTTTACTTGGTAATATTTGTATTTATGCTATATACGGGATTATTTTTTATGTTAAGAAAGAGAAAAAAATTGAGATTGCTAGCAAAAAGCAATAGAAATATAGCCATACGAGCGGATTAAAAAGCTTTGCAAGAAAGCAAAAAGAAAAGGTAAGTAACTTGTTAAATAATAATGTTGTCGTTTATATTTGTTTAGCACTTTTTGTGCCATTAAAAGGTAAAAAATGTAAAAATGTTGTTATTTTTTTGTTTTAACAATTTGGATAGCTTCAATACATTATATTAAACTTACCCAAATGATTGAATTTGGTTTTCACAGATAATATATGTGAAAAGTTACCGTTTATTACTTTTTAGGACTTTGTTGTGCCATTAAAGGGCAAAATTTTAATTTTGTAGTTATTTTATGTTTTAAAAGTTTAGATAGTTAAATACATTATATTAAACGTATCCGAATGATTGAACTTTATTTCTTCGATTGATACGTGTAAAAAAAGTTATTTTTTATGTCTGTTTAGCATTTTTTGTGACATTAAAAGGTAAAAATGCAAATTTGCATTTATTATTATATTTTAACTGTTCAAATAGCTTCAATACATGATATTAAACTTATCTGAATGATTGAATGTGGTTTTCATATTGATATGTGTGAAAAATTTACGTTTATCTCTGTTTAGCATTTTTGTGAAATTAAAAGGTAAAAACGCAAATTTGCATTTATTATAATATTTAATAGTTTAGATAACTTCAATATATGATATTAAACTTGTTTAAATGATTGATCTTGGTTTCTACAATTTGTTTTTGAGAAAAAGTTATCGTTTATCTTTGTTTAGCATTTTTTATCTCGTTAAAAGACATAAATGCAAATTTGCATTTATTATTATTTTTAACAGTTTAGATAGTTTCAGTGCATGATATTAAACTTATCCGAATTATTGAACTTGGTTTCCATGTTGATATGTGTGAAAAAATTATCGTTTATCTCTGTTTAGAATTTTTTGTGCCATTAAAAGGTAAAAATATAAATTTACATTTATTATTATATTTTAACAGTTTAGATAGCTCTAATACATGATATTAAATTTGTTCGAATAATTGAACTTGGTTTTCACGGTTGATATGTGTGAAAAAGTTGCATTATTTATGTTTAGCATTTTTTATGCCTTTAAAAGGTTAAAATGAAAATTTGCATTTATTATTATATTTTAATAGTTTAAATAGCTTCAATACATGATATTAAACTTGTCTGAATAATTGCACTTCATTTTCACAGTTGATATGTGTAAAAAAGTTATCGTTTATCTCTGTTTACCATTTTTTGTGCCGTTAGAAAGCAAAAATGCAAAATTGCATTTATTATTATATTTTAACAGTTTAGATGGCTTCAATACATGATATTAAACTTATCTGAATGATTGAACTCGTTTTCACGATTAATATGTATGAAAAAGTTATCGTTTATCTCTGTTTAGCACTTTTTATGTCGTTAAAAGGTAAAATATAATTTTATATTTATACTTATGTTTTAACAATTTAGATAGTTTCAATACATGATATTAAACTTATCTAAATGATTGAACTTCATTTTCACAATTGATATGTATGAAAACGTTATCATTTATTTTTGTTTAGCACTTTTGTGCCATTAAAAGGCAAAAATGCACATTTGTATTTATTATTTTGTTTGAACAGTTTAGATATCTTTAATACATGATATTAAACTTGTCCGAATAATTGAACTTGATTTTCACAATTGATATATATGAAAAAGCTATTATTTATGTCTTTTTAGGACTTTATTATATCGTTAAAGGCAAAAATGTAATTTTGCAATTATATTTATGTTTTAACAATTCAGATAGCTTAAATACAAATATTAAAGTTGTCCGAATGATTTAACTTGGTTTTCACGATTTGATATGTATGAATAAGTTATGATTTATGTCTGTTTATGATTTTTTGTAATATTAAAAGGTAAACATACAAATTTACAGTTATTGTTTTATTTTAATAGTTTAGGTAGCTCATATTACATGATATTAAATTTGTCCAAATGTTTTAAACTTCGTTATTGCCACACTTGATAAGCATAAATAAGTTATGGTTGATGTGTGTTTAATAATAATAATGTTTTTTGTGAACAAGATTGAGTTGGGTGAAAAAATTAGATGTGTGAAACTTTTTCAATTAACTCACTCGAAAAAAAAATAGATCTTACCTAAATGTCAAAACATAAGAAATTGTGGTAACTTATTGGATTCATTTTATATAGAAAGTAAATAAATATTTACTATTTCAAATATATTATGAATTAATTATTAAACTTGATAACTTTATTTGATTAATTTACATGAGAAAGTTACAGGATTGGCCATTGAGGTTGAAACAATATCCAATTGTTCTGTTAACATGCAAGAATTTAAAGATAGGATTTTTATAAAAGTTGTAGAAAAAAAAAGACATAGACGGGTCTAAGACCTTGGATCGGGTCCAACACTATCTAGCTACTATGAAAATAGCTCCCATCAATTTACATTATCAACAAGTCAATCATCGCGAGAAATCTCAATATTAAGAGAGGGGTTGCAAACTATGCAACATGTGCAACAAATGGAAGCATAAAAAGCTAAAGAACGTGCTAGAATGGATGAAGAGCGTAAGCAGTTGCATGATTGATTTAACACTCTTATGAATTTCGTGTAACAACAATTTTCAAGAAACAATCTAGGTGCTCTACCAACTTAAATATTATATTTAGTAATTATTTATATTTTTTAATATCAGGAATAGCTTATTATTATGTGTAAAAACTTATTTTATTTTTTTCAATAGGTTTATGAGCAAGTTAGTGATCGTGGTGGAAAAAATGCTTCATCAAATGGCAGTGTTCCAAATCTAAGTGGTCATCAATTTCATATATTTTAAATTTATAGTTAATATACTAAAACAATTTGAATATTAATGTATTAAACTTTATGTTACATGAATACTGTAACAAATTATATATTTGGATATTTAAATATTTATAATATTAGTTTATGAATTTAAATTCGTTTTTATGAATTTAAAAATATTTATTTATTTTTTATTTAATTATAATAGTAAATATTAAAAAAAGTAAATTTCGTAATTAAGCGGCATTTGTGTTTAAAAATTTAGCAGTGTTTGCAAACAAAAATGCCACTAAAGGTTGAATTTTGTAGCATTTGTGTATCAAAACGCCATTAAATTTAGTGGTCTTTCTAAATATAAATGTCACTAAATTATGAAATTTAGCGACATTTTTATCTGCAAATACCGTTAAATTTAACTGTATTTTTTCCTTAAACGCAGCTAAGTTAGTGACTTTTTTCTTAAAACATTGTTATTTTCTCTAATGTAGATAATATAGCTGACGTTTTTAGCAGTGTTTTGGACAAACATCGTAAATCATTTAACGGTATTTATAAACGCAACTAAATATGAAAAAAAAAGCCATTAAAGACCTATTCTTCTGTAATGAATTGTTAACGAGATTATATGAGTTGGTAAAGATTGTATACTTTATTAGCAAGATTTAAGTTTAATTTTCATTACCGGTAATCTCTGTTAGTAGATAATTTATAAGTCTAGTGTAAATTTTTACTATGATTTGTAGATGCTTTAATCTTAAATTTTAAAAATAAGATAACCTTTAATTTCATCACCGAAACTTTTATGCATATATATAACAATTTAAAATATATAAATAGAGGGTATTTTTTAAAATATAAATAGAAATTTTCTAAATGAATTTGGAACAAATTAAATGAGCCAATTAATACAATTTTGCACAAATTATTATCAAATATGACCATCTCGTTGGACAATTCTTTACGACAAAGTGAAGTAACTTAATTTACAAGATGGAGCTAGAAAGGAATCCCAAAAGAAAATCTGGTCTTATATGACTACATCTTATTAGAATTGTCAATGATAAATTATCAACCTCTCTTCTTTACAGCTATTTGAAAAACTATAAATTCACTTCAAAGTTTTTGCCTTCGGCTTTGCTATAGGGTGCATGGCGCATGCAGTTTGACGGCAGAAATTTTATTTCTCCGCGTGGGCCCAAACTCAATGAATTCATTCTTCATATTTTAATTAATTAATGGATAGTTTTTATTTGACCCGGAATTAATTTCCAAAAGGAGAAATCTCAACCCTTCAATGACGTGGCGAATTCTCATGCATCAAAGTCCACCGTGGCAAGTCAAACACTTACACGTGTCAATTGAATGAAAAAAATGATCATCGAGTGCCATGGACCTACGACAACAACCGACAACCAGGGCGTCGTGCCTACCTCTTCTTTCCAACTTTCTTTCTTAATACCCAAACCATCTCCTTCTTCTTCTCATCCCACGCCTCCATGGCTATCATACGCTCTATGAGCCAGCTTAACATCAAGGCGCCACCTCCATCGCCTATCCCAACAGCTACTGGCTCACGCTCGGCTGCCAACGCAAGCTTAACCGACTTTCTCGAGAAATCGTTACAAGTCCCCGACCTAACGCTTCCCGAGTCCCAGGCCTTCCGCCATTCGGACCCACCTTATAAGGTCGATTTCCAATCGCTAGCTTTAAGAGAAAGCGGTTCAGTGGAGCGGTTGCTGCGATCGGCAAGGGAGTTTGGAGTGGTGGCGATCGGGTTACGTGGAATTGATACGGGCGAGGAGTTGAGGGCGTTGGTGAAAGAGACGGCGAGAGTATTCGGGGTGTTGGAAGATAGAGATACGGGATTTAGGAGATGTTGGGTGGGAAAGAGGGAGGAGATTGTGTGGGTTCGTTGCAAAGACGAGAGGATGGAGTGGGCACGCCAATATATCGGCGCTCAACTGTATCAGAGTTTCAGGTAATGTAACGATCCTTTCCTGTCCTGCCACCTTCTGCTACACTAAAAAGGTTCAATTCCTTTGGGCAAGTATTTGTTCTGTTGGGCTTTTTGGGCTCACTGAAAGTAATCAATCTGCCATAGCCCCAAATGAACAGGCAGAATAGAAACAGTGCACTTGGGCCTATTTTTGAAAGTAAAAAATGTGGGCTAAATTTGGATTCCAGTGTTCTGTTTTGATGTTTTGATGGTTTTTGTACAGTATTTATTATCCATTGTCGTTAATTCTTGGCTTTTATACAGTGAAAAGATGGAGAAAGTAGCGAGTAAACTTGAGGAAGTTGCGCGGGAATTGGGCAATATTTTGGTAGAAAATGCAGGCAAGCAACCAAGGAAGAGATTTCAAAAAGGAGAGTCTCAGTTGAGCATATACAAGTACAATTACCAACCGGATAAGATGACAGATCAAAATCCACATCTAAATGAAGAAGAAAACGACCATTCCTGTGATTATACTTTAAGCCTCCACCTTCCAGCCAAGCACTGCGAATTTTCTGTCAAATCTGGACCACGACTTTTCACTTTTGATGCTGGTCCTGACACCATTATTGTCACTGTTGGACAACAGCTTGAGGCAAGTAAATTTCAATTCTCTCTCTCTTTTTAGGCTAAAAGTATTCCTTTGTTTTCATAGTATTCGGTGACTTGCTTAATACCATTTATTGTCTTTTAGACAAGTTAACTAGAAAGGCTCTTAATCATAGTATTATATATAACTTTATTCTTCTTTCTGGCACCGATTGGAATCTTATTCTATTTTTGTCAAGGGTTTTTTTTTTTTTAATTTGGGAGAAAAAAAATCAAAATTTAACTTTTTAAACAGAAAATACATGTATTTATTATTGAACTATATATTCGAATGTATATTTTTCATGTTTCTTTGTTAGAGATTTAAGGATCCTTAAGACTGTAATATATTGAAAAACTGAAGTTGCTTATACATTATTTCTGTCAAATGAGAATAACGAATATATCTATATGCTTCATAAAAAAAAAATCTATGCATAAAACTAACCTTATATTATATATAGGGAGAGAAACTATTTCATTGATTGTTGGTTTTTAAACTCCATAAAAGGTTAGTAGTGTAACACAAATCCCTTAAACAATAAACAAAAATTAATTAAAAAAAAAGTAGGGTATATATCAATCTCTTTAACTCCTTTCCTAGAGTTAAAATTTTCTCCGACAATATATTATAAAAAATGAATATATTATATATATATATATATTGTGGGTGTGCACAAGTGTTTGCCTAATTTGCCCATAAATATTGGACGTGGTGAATAGAAGTATCATGCATTTTTCCATATGTGAGTTAAAAGAAATTAAATAAAAGCCTAAAACATGCATTTTTTGTTTGTGTGTATGTGGCAATAGGAATGGAGCATGGGAGGATTCAAATGTGTTTCGGGGCGAATTATTTGTCAGCCAGAACTCCGTGGATCCAAATCCTCTTTCTCCATGGAGCTCAAGTGGTCATCTTCAAATAAAAATCACACTTATAAAACAACACCTTATAAAAAAATCACCTTAGCAGATCAATTCTTCATTGCACTCGTTATTGTTTTCCTTTATTCTATTTTTATGTTAAAAAACTCTCCATGATTTAGAGGAACTTGCATTTGCATATCTACATTCAAAATCTCATAGGCAAAAAGGTTATATCACATAAAATATTGGTGTGGAATTTTTTGCTTCTTTTTCTTTCTACATGGTCCGATTGATCAATGTACAGTTCGAAGCTCTGGGCAATGGATTAATAGTACTGTTGAAAGGGGGAAAATGGAAAAAAAAAAGTTTGATCATATACAAAAGTTGTTTAAGTACTATACATATATATATATATGTTTGAATAAAAAAGGCCTATACTATTGTTTGATTTTTGTGAATGAAATTGTAGCATGACAATTTTCCCATGTGGACTTTGCACACTCTCTTCTGTTCAAGATTCAACCATGAGATTTTTAAATGAAAAACTCAAACATTAAACATTAAAGTTTTTCCTCATGGACTTTATCCAATTGTTTTGTTTATTTGTATTTAACACAATTCATGTAATCATTGAAATTAAGTGAAAAAAAAGAAGAAAATTTTTTAATATAATGACTGAGATTCATAACAACATTGAGATTATAGGATTGTTTAAACTTTTTCGAAAAAAGATTAATTTTGAATTCAAGATTTAATTTAAATAATTTATGTAATCATTTTAAAAAAATGAAATTTAATAGATTTAAAATTCAAATTGCAGCACATTTATGTAATTTAATCCCTTCTTCTATACATTCTTAGATTATGACGTCTTTTGTAAAAGAAAAGAAAATTATCTTCTTTCAATTTACATGAAGTACTTGAAGGAAAATTCACATAAGTTGGTTGGTGAATTGATAATAGAATGAAGCTTCATTTAGTCATGCTATTCTTGGACTTGTCAGTTCTTTTTTTCCTGTTCTTTAGAGTAAAAAAAGAATGAGAAAAATCATATTTTGTTTTAGTTAAGATATCAATGTCTGGGGGCCTCTCCTAAATCTAAGAAAGATTTAACAATTAAAGGTTGCAAATACTTTAGGTTAAAATGCATGCATCATCTAACAATAATCAACAATTAAAAAATATATTGTATTATATGTATGCAATTTGTACAAAGGGACAAGAGAAAAATCCCAGCAAATAATCCCCAAAAGATTTTGTTTGTCACATTGCTATCATATCTAACTCTCACAGATCGATTTTTACTTTGCCAAACAGTCTTACCTTAATTAATATATAGTTACAATTTTAATGGCGGTCGGGCCCCACACCACATGCTCGTCATTCTTTCCACATTCCTCATTTTGGTTGCTTCTTAAATTCCTCCTACAAAGGAGAGCGGCCGATGAAATAATAACAATTTGGAAGAAAATATGATTTACTTTTGAATAGATAAAACTTTATTATTAGTATAATAAAAATTTTGGTTTTCTTAATATGAACATTAAACAACAACAATGTTATTATCGGTAAAGTATTTAACTCTTCATTTAATAAACAAAATTTAATTTTTTAGAACTTGAAATATAAAAGGAATTATAAAAACACTTCAACAATAAATGTTGTTAGTTAAATACAATGGTATATATAAATTTTAAATAAAAATATATTATTTATTATAAAATAATATTTATTGAGTTAAATACAAAATTAAAACCCAAAACAATAAATTAAACGTATTTAGGAATATAATTGGATTGGATCAGACCCAGTTGATGGTAGGGCGGCAAAGCAAGTGAGGAAGGCAGAATCCAGAACTTGTAATTTCGTCGTTTGTATTGGCAAGATATGGAGAGAAATTTGAAGAACAGAGACAAAGGCGCATGTGATGAAAGTAAGCCAAACAATAATCAACAATGACTCTTCCTCCATCTTAATTAGATTCCAAGGTTGTAGTAAATTAATTTTAATATTTTATTTTATCTCTTTCAAAATGACTTCCTATGTCAAAATTAAATGTCATTTTCTTAATTTAAGAGAACAAAATTTTAAGAATATTTGATTTGATGGTTGATTCACCTATTTCTTTTTAAAAAATTGGATTCAAATTTTGAATCTTTAATTTTTCAAATTTAAAATATTGTATTACTTGCAATATTCTAATTGTTTTTTATGTAAAAATAATTTTTGAAATAAATTATAATTTACATTTACCATGTTCACCCTAATTTTTTTATAATAATTAATCACTCTATGCAAATCTCATTGTTGGATGTCAACAAAGAATTATATATATAATTAAGAGTGTGTACATATATATATATATTGTGTGTGTGAATGAAATAATTAAATAAGAGTATACAGAATTATTTTGGGGTTAAAAGTTCCTTCTTGTATTTATCTCTCGGTGTCTATTTGACCCTATTAACGAAAAAATATCACTATCTTTTTTAGTATGCATTTTCGTTTTCTCTCTCTCTTTTTTTTTTCACACTCACTAGGACAAAATGGGTCCAAACGATGCGTACAAAGCAAGCTGATTGAAAAGGAGAGGTTGGTGTCTAATGGCCTGATTTTTGGGCAAAAAGAGAGAGAGAAAAATGTACTCTCAACTCTGACGTTGATAGCTTAGGCACATGCAAACTAGCTAGATTGGAGGTTATTAATATATGTTGTCATCCAATAATTTGATTTGCAAGAAATTTAAGCATAAGAATACCATGTGTATATTTATATATATGTATATATAGGTGAACAATACTATAATTAACATCAAAAGCTATTAATGAAAAGTCATTAATTCTTAGCACCATATACAAAGAAGTTCAAGACAATTTGGATGAATTATTTAAAATTTTTTGTTACAATTATAAGTTCGACTCAAATATCTAATAACTTGCTTAAAATTTTACTTTTAATCTGAATTGAAAAAATTAAGGTGACAACAAAAAGATTTGTTGAATTTATTCAAACTCCAATAAGTTTAAAAAAAATTATAATTTGAATTAATATGAACTCAAATTCTTATTAAAATGTAATTGAATTAACTTGAATCCAATAATATAAGAATGGACTTTGGTTTTTTGGGAGGTAAATAAATTATGGGAAGCTGATTATATAATTAGGATAGTAATAGATTGGATCAAGATGAATTTTTATTGATTTTGATTTTGGTCTAATACTTAATATTTACACTCGATTCTTTTTGGATATTAAAATATTATTTTTTATATTTAATTTAATTTAAAATTAATATAATAATTTTAATTTAGTATAATATTTATAAAAATATTTATAATATAAATTATATTTTAACTATATATAAATATAATATTTTATTAAGTTAAAATATCAAATTAAATTATTAAATAATAATTTTATTAATATATAAAAATAAATTTAAATAAATAATAAAAAAATATGTTTTAATTTATAATCATATCAAGACAATGTTCCCTAAAATTCTACTTCGATCTAATGATCTCCATTTTTTTTTTTAAAAAAAAAACGACTTACTTCCGACTCTCTTATTTAAAAAAAAAAAAAAAAGGCGATTGGGACGAATGTAAGAGTTATTTCATACAAAACAAAGTCAAATGGGCGTGCAAGAAATGGGCAAAGTGCCTGTCATACACGTGCAGCAGTTGGTAGGGGCCTTGTTCTCTGAATAATATTAGAGAAATTGTAAACTCTTAAGTTCCATCCTATTCCTACCCTACAAATTCCTACAGTTGAAACTTTGTAGGGTACATTGCCCTTCATTTGCCCATAAAGGTAGGGTAAAAATAGAATGAGGCTATGCGTTGGCAGCAGCCAGAATCTGCGGTTTAATGTTTGTCGTATGGTTTTTGATCTCATTCTCCTTCTGTCTCATCTCAGATCTCTCCGTTTTTTATTTCCTTCTTTGACTCAGTCTGCCGTTGCGGCTCGCCTACACACTGGTCAAATTGCTTCAATTCGGCACTTTTATTATCTAATTTCCCAATTATTCTGCCATGGAATTTGTGTATTCATGCCCATTAGTCAATTTTTCACTTCTAACACCACCCAAAAGAAAAAAAAAAAAAACTAATTTGCAATGAGCATTGACTACTCAATTTAATTTAAAATTTTAGATTTCAATGTTAAGTCCTTTTAAATATGAATTTGATTTAATTTTATATTAAATTTGTTTATTTTTATGATAGTCTTTTAATTTCTTTGATTTAATTCAGTAATTTTTATATGTGACGTAATTCTTTGATTATGATTGAAATTATTACTTGTACTTATAAGTTTGTAAAAAAAAAAAAAATCAATCTCAATCTTTGTACATGAAATGGATAATATAATATGTGGTATATATGAATTTTGTGAAAATTGATACTCCCTTTTTCTTATATATCAAAATTGTCTTCGTTGGTAATTTGATTTTTAGTGTTCAAATTATTTTAACTTTGATTATATTTTTTTAATTTATTATTCATGATTAAAATGCAAAAATACTATAATTAAATCTTTGAAAGAAACTGAGAAGGCTTACAAATATATTTTAATAAAAATTTAGTTTAATAAAACATTTTAAAGCAATAATGATCATATTTTTAAAAAAATATTGCAAAAGTCGGATTCAAACGATATATTTAAGAAGAAACTAGTGTAGTACTATTTATAATTATTCTAAGAATTCTTTAAAAAACATTATTAGTAAATATAATCAAGAAAGTAAATAATCCTAAAGTGACACGCTACAATTGTTACAAGTAGAGATTTCAATTTAGACATTTTAAAAATTAAATTATGAGATATGTTTGGCCAAGTTTAATACTCAACAAAATTTCTTATGTACCAAACAAATTAAAGAGTGAAGCTCCTCCAATGATGAAACCTATAATATATATTTGAGCTATGAATTTTGTGATGCCGTCCTTTTTGTATTAAAAAAGAAAGAAAATTAAAAAAAAGAAAAAGAAAGGTCCCTGAATTGGTGGATTGATATTCGACATGTACAACGTCTCTTCACCTAATGAACCTACTATCTATTACATATAAATTAATTAGCAGTGTTCCGATGCATGTACCATAAAATGGTCTTTATTCCTTTCAAATTAAATTATGTATAGAAAAATTAGATTAATGATATATATATTTTGTAAAAAAAAAAATTTGAAAGTAGATAGATTATTCAATTTTTCAAATCAAAATAAAATATATCATATTTGATAACTTAAGACAGATGATTGTAAGATGATCTTAATAAATAATCATCGACAAGATTCGAATCCCAAAATTTTTTTTTTTGAAAAAAATGAACCCTAACCGATTAAACAACCACTTGTTAATAGATTAATGATATAAAAAACCACAATATACGCCGTCTCATGCTGAGTCCTGCTATGTTTAATCCATGTCTTCTTCTTTGTTCCTTAGAGTTGGTATAATTTATTTTACAAGACGAGACATTTTGATCACAATAAATCATTTAGTTTTGTTCTTATCCACCTACTATATCTTTATACGATATATTCTATATACTATATCATTGTGTGGAATTTATATGATATAGTATATACAAACATATATATTTTTAAAATTCATATATTATTTTTTATATAATTTTATATTATATTATTAGATCATATTTAAAATTATCAAATTTATTTAGAAGTCTTCACCTACCATTGAAAAAGCATTTATTATTAATTTAAACTACTTATATATGATCAATAAAAATAAAACAAAAATTGCAATAACACTTAAAGTTACAAAGTGATTTTTTTTAAAATTTCAATAAAAGAAAGTTAAATTCCAATCATATCCTACTGTAAAACTTACATTTTTGTAGCAACACATTTTTTCTTTTCTTAAGATTACATTTACAAGTAAAGATTAAAATCACAATAAAATACTATAGTTATATATATTTTTGGATAAGTAGTAACTTTTCATTATACGTAATAAAATGTTCATAATATAAACACATCAAATTTACAACGAAACTAAACAAAATTAACATAAAATTAACTTAAACCTCATAAAATTTAAAGTTTTAGATAATCTTTCTTACCATTAAAACAATGATTAATCCACTTTTGTATCTGATTCTTGTTGGGCAATGAAATTCATTGAAGAACAGACACTTAAATCAATGTCAAGAATCTACTATGCAAGTACTTGGTCACGTCAAGGTAGCTGTTGGATTGCGTTTAGCTGGCTTGAAGAACATTGCTGCTGGCTCTGTTAATCAGAATCTTCGTATCGCTTGTGGCTTAAACTCTTCCATGTTTGATTAAATTGTTGCTGGCCTAGTGAAAGTTGTACTTGTAGCCGTTTAAACTGTTGTTTTTATTTTTACAAAGAAGATCAATGCATAGGAGAAATAGAACTTCAACCTTCATGTTCGTTTAAAATGCGTTTTTGGATAATGAAATCAATTACTTAATACCAAAATAAGTTGACTACATAATTATCAGTTGTGAAGGTCAATGAATATTAATGCAAAAACTATCACTGGAAAAAATATTAGGAACCGCAAATAACAGAATAAACCCTATAATGAAAACGTACAATTTCTGATTTCTTAGGGTTGGTGAAGCCGAGCTTCAAGCCCGTCGTCCCAGAAAGAAACTTTATCTCAAATCTGTTGCTTTCTTTTCAAAAAAAAAAAAAAAAAAAAGGGGGGGGGGGTAAAAGACGGTTTACTGTTAAAAAAAAAAGGGCATCTAATTACACAAACGAAAGGAGTTTGTTAGCCAATCTGAATCTTTCGTCGTGATCAATGGGGGGTCTGATCATCCTACCAAGTCAATGTTTTCATGTTCTTAAAAGGACATTAAAGAAAAAAAAGGAAAAACACCCCCAGTCAGGTTGGTCATGTCTGTTAATATTGCTATTTTTGTTTGAAAATAGAACGTGATTGCTTTTGTAATTATTGAAGTAACTTTAACTTTTCTTTCAGGAGATCAATTTTCAACTTTGGGTAAAGCTCATGCCTATGTCGTCCAACAACAAAAGCCTTTGAGCTTTCACACAGTGCAGAAATTTGAATTTTACCCCTTAAAAGTTTTCTTCTCTGTGAAAAATTTGAATTTCGCAGCGTTTTTAATTATTTTTTGGGTACAATGTACTCTCTCTGTGGATGTGAAAAAGCTGGACATCTTGCCTGGAGAAGGAGATATAGCTGTATATGTAGCTTTAGAATTGCGAAAAAAGATTAAAAACTGAATCCTTGTCCTTAAAAGATTATCTTCTTTTGTCGGAGAAAACCTGAAGCTAATGGAAGAAACTGTCAGAAATTGTACGACCGAGGGACCCTTTTACATGTAATTCATATCCATGGAGAATTACATTGAATATCTGTTTTGTTTTTGTATGCTTTTGCGTACAATTTCCAAATAGGGGTGCCATCATATTCCTTCAATAAAAATTACTGTCCTTTTGGTATCTTTAGAAGTCAATAAAACAGGCAGGCCACAAACACACACAAGAAAAAAAAAAAAAAAAAAAAAAAAGAGCTCTGAGAAACATGTAAAATCAAAGCTTTTCTTTTCCTTTTTTGTTCTTAAATTGGGATTCTAAAGTTTTTTTTTTTTTTTGGACAATGAATGTAATTCCGTATTGGATTTTGCTCAGCCTTCAGCCAATGCATGAAGTGCAGGTAGCTGAGGGCTCAAACTTTCTTTTTCAATTGACCTATTTGAAAACATATTAGAAGCTTGTCTTTTTTTATCAGGCTTGAAAGTTGCAACATAATAGATTTTCCTTGGCTTTCCTATTTTCGTTTTTCTTTTATGTGTCCAATACTGTCTCAATGGCAAAATTTTACCGCAAAAGATCTTAACTATCGGACAACTTAGAAAAGCTAAATTATTCAAGCACTAAAATAAAAGCACGTCTTCAATGGATTCTGCTGTCATCAGCTGCGCATTAAGATACCCTGCCAAAATTCTATCTCTTCTCTTCTCTTTTTTCTTTTTCTATTTGGATAAATGATTTTTATTCTCAGGTAAACAGGTCAGAAACGTACTGACAGAATAAAACAGGGCAACCAAAAAAATGTTCTGCCTCTTGAAATTGATACTTTTATTTAATTCTAAATTGTTATGTAATTGATTGGTAAAAGTTTTCATGATCAAAATGCTGATCTAAGAACTAGTACTAGTAGTATTTAATTTGAAAGGAGTAAATGACAATAAATTTATAAAATGATAAGACAATGACAATAATGAAGACTAAAAAAAGAAAGAGAAAAGAGAAAATATACATACCTATATTTCGTAAGTATTTCGGATGAAATTATTTCAACCGGACATCACTCAAATCAAACCAGATTTCCTTGAAAACCTTAATGATAAGGTCATGATATTCATCAGAATTGAGAGAAAGATAACAGGCAAGTAAATCCTCCAAGTCCTTAGATGCCCTGATCTTGTTCTCCATAATCATCTCCACCATTGAGTCCCTGAAGTCTCTCTGTGGATCAAACGACGACTTCACTACGGCAAAACTATCCGGCAGGCTCCTCCTTGAGGTCGAGCTTGAACTTGATGACACACTTTTTCGAGCATGAGCCTGGATTCTTCTTCTTGCAATTTTTGGAGAATTTATTCTAAGCCTTACACCAGGAGAATTAACAGAAAATTTCCTAACAGGACTAGTGTTCTTTTTCTCTTTCACTGTAATTCTCTCTTCCTTCACAACCTTGACAGACAGTGAACCATGAGCGTTTTTTCCTTCAAATTTAGCTGAACTCCTTCTATACTTGGTTGATTCATTATTCTGCTCTTTCTTCTTGACATCTTTTACCATATCGTTGAATTTAGCCGGCTTGGTTATGATCGGAGGGAGTTCAAGCTCAGACAATTTGTCGAACTCATCCAGCTTTTCGAATTTCTTGACAGAAGACTTGTTATCAGTATCGATAACAATATTATTAGCTTTAGAATTCATGACTTTGCAGCTACAAGAACGCGACCAGGACAACATGTCATCGAATGATTCAGTAGTAAGAATGCAGTCAGACCTGAATTCTTGCTGGAAAGACTCGCAAAGTTTTTGTTCTGAAGAGCTATCAGAAAAGGACGAAGAAGGGGAAGAAGCTGAGTATTCTGGTGGAGAATCAGCCTTAGTCCAGAGTGTGGCACGGCAGCTACAACCGGTAGAAACAGAGGCGGTAGCAAGCTTGGGAGAAGACCTGATATTTCTTTTTCTGGACCGTTGTTTAGAAGATTTTCCTGGTGGGTCAGGGAAATGGCCATCTGATGATTTGGTGTTTGTAGGAGAAGCATAGAATCTATCACTTGGGATAAGCTCTCTAGTGAAGTAATAAGACTTTCTTGGACAAAAATGGTGGGGTTGCTTTATTTTTGATGGCTGTGTTGTTGTTGTTGAAGGAGGAGACGTCTGGTGGTGTTTTTTCTTGGAATGATTGGTTTTGCTATGCTTTCTGGCTCTGCCCATGTCTTTCAGCTTGTAGAACCAGGCATGGGGCATCATATCAGATAACCTAAACCTGTAATTGCCCATCAAGGTTCTCCCTTTGACTGAAAAAATCTAAAGGTTTAGAAACAACAGAAACCTCTAAAATGTGAAAGAAATGAACATGTATTTGAACATGGCTCTTGATCAGTCTTTTTGATATGGGACTAACTGAAGCGTAGAAGCTGTATAAAAACAGAGAGAGGGGTGATTGAAATTGGAGAAAGGATGGGGTCCACGAATGGGGAAAAAGTTGGCATAAAGGAAAAGCACTGGGGCCAAGTGGTAAAAGGATTTTGCTGGTTATGACGCTTAATCACCAAACCAAGTAGAATTTGTATTCTTATCATCATTACTATTTTGTTTACTTCTTAAACAAAGCAGATTCCTCCGCGACTTAAAAACTGTTTTTTCCCCTACAGGCCCCAGCATCTAGGTTTTTCGTACTACGTCTCAAATCAGTGGTTTTCCATGATTTTTCCAGATGTTCTATCGACGCGGCTCGCATGCCGGCCCTTAGATTGACCCTACAAACCTCCTTTTTATTTTCACCTGCTTGTAAACTAGAAAAGTCGACGCTTAGGAAGGGGAAAGGAAAGCTTCGTATTCAGCTTTTATCAGCTATTTGCATTTGCTTGCTGCTGTAATGCACATATATAGGCTATTTTATCAATGCTTTTACCCCATTATTATTACTACAATGCTTTCTGGTTTTAAGAATTAGAAAACGAAAACAACAAAAGGACAGAAAATAAAAAAGGAGGTTTTGGGAATGCAGAGGGCTCCTTGGAATTCAGCATTATATGCGTCCATCACTACAGATTTTGCAAAAATCAACTGCGTATAATTGACAAATAATTCTCCTACCGATTACTCTTTCTGTTTCATAGGAAAGAGTCGTAGAGGCCTAAAGAAGCCCATTTCAGAGCCCTGCAGCCTGAATTTTTTTCTGAGGGATTTCATAGCCCAACCACATATCATTGCAACAAATTGCCTACAGTAAACTGGATATGTCACTAAATACCTTACTTTAGGGTGTTTAGGACCTAAACTAAAGGTAAATGTAATCTCTTTAGCCCATGCAAGGTTTATCTGGGTGAATCTTTTATCAGTTGTCCTTAAAGTGACGAAATTGTGACCCACAAAGTCACAAAACACAGACGGAGCCCGATGCACATGAACTCTTTCTCAAGTAGCGATGGGCCTTGAAAATCATTATCTGGCACTACTGGGCAGACCGATCGAGCAGAAAATGTGGCATTGCGTTATCAACCGAGTGATGCTGGATGCTTATCCTATCATTATCTGAATTATGGACATCTTTAAGGAGCAAAATGAAAGAAATGCAGTTGAAACTTTTTTCCTTGACCATGACCCTTTGTTTTTTTTGGGTACTGTTGTTTTGCGTCCTAATGCCTCATGAGAATTTCTTAAAAAGTTTGCTGGTACGGTATTTGCACCTTATGACAAATGTTCATCTGTCTTGTATCGCTGACAGATTTGATTTATTACAAATTCACTATATGAGACATTACACAGGTTATTCATATATTAAACAGGTTTATAAGTAAAAATCAAACAGCCTAAAAGCTCGTTGCCTGTATAGGATTCAGATAGATGTCCCCATATTGCAGGTCGAGGTCTGGTCAACTGGTCCCCTGGGCATGTTCGCTGCAGTAACATGACCATTAGTCTTTGGTATTGTAAATGTGTCCAAACTCTAATAAATTAGAGTGGGGACCTTGTCCTCACCAAAATAGTTTGTCGTTAATGGTACCTTTTTGGTATTTTAACGAAGGACAATGAATAAATTCAGGGCGGTTAATCCTTTTTCTAACCCAGAATGTTTTCAGACTGCGATGTGCATGTAGGTTTCCTATCTGGAATCTTTTTTTCACATGTAATTGATGGAGATTGAGGCCCAATGCAGTTTTTCATGAGTAAAATGCCGGAGCAAAACATAAACCTTTAGAAAATGTGGCCCAAATCGAATATACAGGGACTTGGGAGGACTTTCCTTTAAAATGTTTATAGAATGAATGCCCTTATCTGATCATACTCTTCAACTAAAAAAATAAGTGGTGCTATTTGCACCTTAAAAATTTTTTAATACACTATAAAATATTAACCTTTTAGAAAATTATTTAAATATTTATTAGTTAATTATCTTTTTATCCTTCACACTTTTTTCTTTTTCTGAGCAAGTTATCAAAAATTCATATTCGAAAACTTCTTCAATGTATCAAAAATTCATTTTCAAAATTTTTTCAATGTATTGAAAAATGCATTTTTAAAAAGTATTATAATTATTCGAAAATACATTTTTAGAAAACATTATAATTATTTGAAAATGCATTTTTAGAAAGCATTACAATTATCTGAAAATCTATTTCCCAAAGCAATTTTTTATTTCAATTTCTTTGTTACAATCTTTTGATTAGTATATGGCACGAAAATATTAGATATCCTATGTCACGATCTCTAAATAAATTTTTAATAATTTCTTCGAGGTATGAACTATTTAAATTCGATAGAAGAAACATTTAATCTTTCAGTTGTATTGTTCATTCAATAATGTTTGCAATATTTTTTCAATTCTAACAAATATGTATTTGAGAGAAATTAGTAATTGTGAAGAGGTGCTCATGAAAGTTGGCTACTGCACTATATGCAATGAGGCAATCATGCTCCATTACACATGGTGCAACAGTTAATTTGCACGAGTATCTTTTCACACTTAACGATTTTTTTTAAATGTACATTTGTTAGAATTGCAAAAATGTTACAAGTATTATTGAATGGATAGTGCCTGTTGGCTAAAAGAAGAAAGATCCCTATTGTAGGATTTGTCAATCTACTGATGATATTGTTAGGGTCAATGATCCTCATGGTGCTAAGTTATTGTGTTTTGAAAATTCATTTTTGAAATTTTTTAAAGGTTTCATAAAATAAATATTTGAAAACTATTGAGAAATTTCATAAATACACTTTTGAAAATTTTTAAAGGTTTTTGAAAATGAATATTCGAAAACCTTTAAAGAATTTCAAAAATAAATTTTCAAAAGTTCTTAAACGATTTCTGACATCCATTTTAAATAATCTTTAAAAATTTTAGAAATTTATTTTTGGAATGTTCGAATCTCACCTCAAATCATATTCTAAAACTTAAAATCTTAATTCTTATGAAACTAAATACAAAATTAAACGAAAAAACAAAAAAAAAATGATTTACATCTAATTTTAAACTATCTAACGTTAAATGGGTGATTGAGATTTGATTTGAGGCTTAATTCTTTAAGAATTTTAAGGTTTTTGATTGAAGAAAATGGGGTGTGAGAAGATGAAATGTTTGAATGTTAAGTAAATTTATGTTTTAGTTAAAAAAATCAAAAATTGAAGGCAATCTAACTAAAAGAAAGAATTAATACAATGAATTTAGTGTATAAAAACAAGAAAAAAAGAAGGAGGAGGTATCTTGAGCACAAAACTTTGAAAAATCAATTAGCTAAACTTGTTGGTCCGTTTGCGAGGGCCAGAAGTTAGCGAAGGGCCTTTTGGTGGAAGATTTAGCACCAAGAGTCGGAACTCGATACCGTTTTTCACAGGGCATCGGAAGAGTACTTTACCAACATTCTTGTCAGAATCTCGAGATTTGTAACCAACTGTTGGTGGTCAAACTTGGTGCTAAATTGTTTTATTTCAGAAATCGGCGGTCAAATTAATTGTTTAATTCTTTTATCCGTACCTTTGCCTTGACACTCAAACAAGCCCAAGTTGTTGGTTTTCTTTCTCCAGGATTTCATATTACTAGATTTTTGTAGTATAACATTTTTTTTTTTTTCACATTTCAATTTATGTTTAGACATTTGACATTTCATTGATATTTAGATATTCGAGATTTCTCTATCAGCAGTTTGAGGGACCTTTTGTGATTGGTTCATCGTAAAACCGGCAAATATTCTTTCTATTTGTCCCTTTCTTAACTTTTTCCCAATTGAACATCCCTGTCTCTTGTTACATCAAGGAACTTTAATATATAAAAATGGTAGAAAACAGCCACCTAAAGTTTTAATTGCACAAGTAAGAGGGAATATTGATTTTTCCATTTCTCTTAGTTTATAACCTCTCCGCTACAGACAAAACGAGGTATAAAAATCATTGATCAGATAATTTAGTTGCTTCTTCCTTGAGTCAGTCCAATGAAACAAGGCTTATGAACAAAGGCAGATAAATGTTGGTTAATGGTGAATTATATTTCCATATAAATGAACCAAGAGGTATTTTTAAGAATGGTGTCACTAGGCTCAAATAGTACTGAGGTATGCCTATTGCTAGAGTTTGATATATCACCATAGGGAAAATCGAAGTTGAATAACACTTAACAACAAATCTATTTACTATCTCGAGTTTGACTCTCAAAATGCGATGTCGAGTCATTCACCCTGTATCAAACCCCAGAGGGGACAAAACGTCATTGGCACTTGGACCCTTATGAGATGGGAAAAGAGTATCTCTCTAGTTTTAGAATTTCCACTTGAGCTTAATACCAAATTATCGTGGATTCTATATCAGATTGTACTCATCTTCAGGTAAAATCCGATGTGAGCAAAACCTGGTCCAATTCGTTCAAAAATGGGATAAGCAAGCTTAACATTGTCTATTAAACAAAAGCTCTACTTTCATTCACCTTTAATCTTTTGTTCCTCACATCAGGAATCTCCATATCATAATTCTGCTAGTAAACACTTTGAAGATTCAATTTCTGGAATCCACTGACTTCATTTCCAACTAACTTTCTTAAGTCATGTTCGATAACAAGATTATGATAGGATAACATAAGATGATATTAGCAATAAAATTATAATTAAATACTATTATCTTATTTTATATTTGATGTATGCAAAGATTATGATATGATAATTTATTTAATAGTCAAAATTATTTTTTCTTAAAATTTATATAATTTAAATTATTGATATAAATTTTAAGGGTAAAATAAGACATGTAAGTTCAATCCTATAAATTAAAAATAATTTTTTCAACTTTAGGATGATTGAATCATCCTAAACCAAGAGGATGATAATTCTTCTTTTAATTTTATCTTTTTTTTAGATACAAATCAAACATAATATAAGATGAT